CTGGCACCACCTGTCTCGCCACTGCCATTGCGCTCCCAAATCCACACTTTGACGTCAGATGGTCCTTGCCAATGGAGATACAAATCCTCAGGCTCAAAGGTCCAACACGGGGTTTTCGAAGGTCGTGAGGGGCGCCGTTGGAGGAAGCGATATATCGGACCTTGACGTCGTCGACATAGTCGTGGTGGTCATCATAACCGTCGTCATCGTCGCCTTCAGAGCTCGTAGTCCAATTCCCAAATAGGCGAAGGCGATAAACTTGAATGCACATCTTCAGCGTCAGTGAAACATAATGAAAGGGGGGTGACAATACCTGGGCGACGAGCCAGTGTCGTAGGGAAGGCCGCGATCTTGAGGAGTAATTGAAGGGTGGGAGCCGTGATCAAGAAGCAGCTTCCAACCCTCTTTGGAGTTGCTCACTGCCTTCCCGAGGATTCATCAAAGGTTGGAAACTACAACCCATTTCCATGCAAGATCGAAGACCGGGAACCGAATGTGCAGTCACTCGTTGAAATCCAGGATCCCAGGGTTCCCTTAGAGACTGAGCACTACGATCCACGTGAGAATCCGGGGGAGTCTTAGACCCAACGAGAATTCCATGCTGAGCTGATGCGAATTGGGTGTTAAGCAATGTCCCTCCCCTCCCCTGCTTGATGACATATTGAATATGTACCCTTAAAAGGCGGAATCAGTGAAAGGACTTACCAAAGGAACGTCCAAGTCCGAGTCCAAGTCATCCAAGATCTCGACAAAGGGCCTCTGAACATTCCGGGTATCGCTGAGGTGTTGCCTTTGATTCTGGAGCGTATGGTGTCCACGATCAGATAGACCGTCGTGTAGTATCGGGCGGTCAATGAAGCCTTTGTGACTTCGCGTTATGCCTTCGTCCTCGTCGTTGGAAGTCCAGCGGGGTTCAGGGTATCATCTGTCATAGATATACCGACCCGTCACATAGGTGAACGCACAGAAGAGAGAGGTGATGACGAAGATGATGGTGAACACTGGCAGAAGGATGAAATAAAGGCAATGGCATAGCGGGAAAGCAATCGTTCTGTAGATAGGAAATGGGTGGTGGAACGGTGGGGAGAGATAGAAAGGACACACTTTGAAATCATAGCTGTATAAAAGGGGAAACAAGACAAAGAGACCGTCAAAGGGAGGACACGATACTTACGTAAGCTATACCCAGGTTCAGTGTTTCGCTCTTGCAAGCGTACTATGCAGCTGAGCATCAAATGGCCCGTTCACCATGATGTTGATAGGGGGAGTCCACGCTTGAGCAATGCAAGCGGCCTACCCAACAGTCGCTGTCTCTTAGAGGTTAGTACGTGTTCGGTAGGATCAGACGACTCAGTATCTCACCCCCATAGATGAACTTGCTCAAACCAGACGTAGGACCAAACAGCAACACGGAGGGCATCTAACGGACATGTTGAAGATATTTTGAGGCGTAATTCTGTGTCAAGTCTATCGGCACCCGAAGAACTAGAAGCGAAGGGGGTACATACGTGGAAAAGAGCTAGCATCGTTTCCCTTCGGAAGTCGTGGAAGTGCACGATGGCTGTCGTAGTACTAGTAACTGGAGAGAACGCCCTGCCGGAAAGACATTGAAAAGTTCGGCCAAAAGGCGCAGGACCCTCGTCATTCGATGTCAACCGGAAATGGTCGGTACATTTGAAGTGATGTTCTAGATGCCTCGATATCAGTAGGCGATCGACCTTTGGTTGGAGAAACGACGGTCCCGGTGCCCTGTTGCATTGTCAGTGGAGGTAGAAAGGATTTGAGTACGCAAGTTGATTGACCTTCAATACATCTTGACAGACTCGCGCAAGTTCACAAGAATCGTCGGGAGGTTGAACATGAAGGGGCCTATCATCTTTGATCTGGACAGCTGGTGAAAGGAGCTATCCGAACAAAGCGGGAAATGCTCTAGACGAAGGTGGTAAGGACTATAGGGAGAAGAACGAGGAGATTTCGTGGGCTTACGTCGTCATTGAGAAGAAACAACCCCTCCAGCTGAGAAGCCTGTTCTACCAGCCAACGGCTTCGATGGCAGAAAGCAGCTCCTTTTGGTCCTCCGAATCTGCTTGAACTTCCGCCAGTAGACCGTCAACATTTGAGAAGCAGAACTTGCTGGAGCATTGTGCCAAGGGGAACCCATGTGCGAAGCCACTTCTGAGTGTATGGGCCTTGAAGTTTATCCCAGGATTTGTCTGAAATGGCGACGATAAACGAGACTTGGTTGTTGGCATGCTTGTAGAACAGTCGGTCTTTGCCCTTCCTCGTTGACAAGGGACGTGGTAAACGTTGGGCACTAGATCTCGAGTTAGCGACCGCTTCTAATAGAGCCAAGGTTCCGCGAACAGAGTGAAGCAACACCATCCTCGCACAACAGGAAGACCTGGTCGTCGAACGCCGAAAGCGTAGCCCACAACATGCAGAATTATGGGTACTTGGTAGTGTCCCAATGGCGAGAAGTTTTTATCTTTGAGCAGAGTCTCATTCAATGCCTAAACGTTCGTGAGAGGCCAGACGCCGAGCATGATGTAAGATACACACATATGTGGTATAGTCCTTTAAGATCGAAGAGACTTTCGTTGCAAAATGGGCAAGGAGAACTTCGGACGAAGCCATCAGGGTGGATTATATAGGCCCTCATGACGTGGCGTAGACCTTTTCGCCGTGGACCTCTTTAGGGGAATGTTTTGGAGGACGGCGCCTTATTTATTCGTAGACTCGAAGGACATAAGGTAGAAGCCAGATACCGCGGCGAACTGCACTCGGATATGGCTGAACTTGGAGATCGGATTCACTGAACGTGGTGTGGCATTGTAAGTGAACTTTGTATTATCAGATAGACAGTACTTGCGAGAATGGGGACTATTGAGACCCGTGTAACGATCATCTTAGTTGCTGTAGGTGTTGGTCGGAATATGAGCCTGAACGAACTAGAATTGATACACAGTGTGTCCAAGTATTCAGGAACTTACAGATGCTCACGGTTTCCGCGCCTTCTCACTAACCACTAGGCTATTCCTCCCAGCGCACCACCAGAAGTGTATCATCAACTTTTATTTCCCCTTCTCTCCCAGGTGTTCGTCGACCCACATGAACTAGCACTCCGACGCTCTTTGTACTTTTCCAGGCACTGGGGAAGTCCAGAGCTTGAGGGGCTGCCAGTAGTGCATGCGCTGGATGGAGGGAAGGGGGAGCAATTCGTTGAACTTCAGAACATTCTGCGTGCTCTGGCAGCAAGGTGATGGTGGAAGCCGTTCCTGATTTGAAGCCTTTCATTTTGCAGATATGATCTGCATAAGCGCCAATGCCTCGTGGATGAATGAATGCGTGCCCGATATCTCTTTCCTTCAATCGTCCGTTTTCCTGATAATTCAACAGGTTCTGGTTGCCAGCGGAAACATCGATGTCTACTCTGCCTGGTCATAATCATACGTCCAGCTCCTTAGACGGCAGAGGGGATGCAGATTCAGCATCTAGAGATGGAAAGTCAATGGAAAAGACGGTTCCTAACTACGGTGCGCCCTATTCCGAAACCTCGACTCCTCCAGTCAATGGCCTGATTTACTCATGCAGTATATTACCGTCTATACACCAAACTAGGTGCATTCGAATCAATTCATCCCCTCTACCACAATGACCGTTTCATTGGCCGCATTCCGTCGAAATCCTTTGCCCCTCCTCATACCGTGGCATCTATCAAGTGGTCCGTATGCAAACTTGAGGGCCTACAGTCGGAGCCCGACAAGGCGCTACTCTTCACACAGCTCTCAAGCCCAAAACCTAAAGAAGAATCTGCCCGCCTATCTTTGTTCGCTCCTTCTGGGCCAGGCCGGTCCGAACAAGATCCGATCGTGTTGGTTGTCGAGTCGGAGAAGAGAACGAAGGAGGTCTCGCAGTCAGAGAAGCTACCGGAACACTCTGATCATACTGATATCCACTATGGCAAGTCTTATCGACGACTCCTACCCAAACCGTGCACTCATGAGCTTTGCAGTACACTATCGTGTTTACTCATCAAAAGGAGGCGATCAAAAGGCAAAGACCTCCTTTGACCAAACTGATATTTCGTTAGGGCGCATCAACACCCTCTTCATCGCTCCCCCTCACACTGCTGGGTCTCTGAAAGCGCGTATCGCACAAGTTGAAGGCCTCATCACGCCGGGTCATGCACTCTACAAGGATATGGAACTCTTCCAAGACACGGATAGTGATGCTGCCATGAACGACACCGATATCATATCCTTCCAAGGTGACAATTATCCTGGTGGTGATGAAGGCGATCCCGTAGCCCTTGTCAATGCAACGACCAATACAGCTGCAGACCAAAAGACTAAGCCTACATCAAAGCCTACACCAGGTAAAGTTCTTGGAAAATATCCATTAGACACTGCGGCAACACACCGTGCTCTTTCAGATGGACCAGATTCACAATTCACGAAACCCGCTCAGTTGACTGACACTTACGGTGAGCAACATTTCATGAGATAATCCGATTCTCATCCTATAGTATCCCGCCGCAGACTACCATAATTATGATTCCGCCTGGCTATCAATATTTCAAGATGAGATCGTTCACACAGATGGAGTCATTGTCTCCATGAGGCTCTCCTCCAGTGACTGTATTCCTTCCCTCTTTCTGCTTCGTCATCAGTTTGTTGATGCTTTGTCGGACCAGATATTTTTTCAGGCTACATGGTGATTAATTCCAAGGGTGAAAAAGGCTGTGAGTCTCCAATTTGCATTTGAGTCACTGGTAGGTGGTTATGGATTTTCTTTGGCAGTTGTGCTTAAGGGTAAGTGGGCTCCTCCCCCTGTCGGAGTGTTTGATGTCCACTCTTTTGCTAGGTAATCTTGCTTTTGATTGATTCGTGATTATCTGAGAGGGTGTATGCTTTTCGAAATGGGATATGTCAGGATTTAGGCTTGGCAGAAGGGGTCAATGTACTGGTACCGTAGATTTCTTGTATATAAGTATGTGACACAAGAAACGAGGACTCACTTGAAAACGACATCGCACAACTTGCAACTGTCGACCGTTGACGCTTTCAAAAGTTGTCGGATCCTGCTCAAAGATTCAAACGATACATAAGGTATAAGTAACTAGATCAGATATATACACAAACAAAAAACCCGAAATGCTCGCATACACGAGCATTCATTTAATCAATTCCTCGTCAGCGTCAGTCAAAAAGAGATCGTGAACAAAGTCGTAAAAGTCATAAAAGTCACAAGACCGCAAAGCATCTCCCACCGTCAACATCCTGTTCCTCCTATTCAACCAACTCCAAATCCCAGACCCAGTCAACCTCCTCACAAGCACCTTCAACACAATAGCGCACACGCCAATACCCACGAGTACGAGGTAACTCCCCCGTCCACCTGTTGATAGGTACAGATCGCGTCGGGGTCTTCTTTGAGGGGTGATGGTGGTGGAAGAACTGGGATTAGAGGGGAGGAGGAAGAAGAACTTGGGTTACAGGAGGAGGGAGGGTTGGGCTCAAGGGGGAACAAGGACATATTGTCGCCCAACACAGAAAACTTGAAAGACGACGGACTGAAGAAGAGTGATAGTGATGGGCCATGACTTCGACAAAGTGGACGCGTCGAGACCACCAAGTTGAGCAGAATGCATTCCCATTCTTCCTCAACCTGTTCGAAACGTTTTACAAGGTCAGATCCTCTCTGATCGAGAGCCCGTCCTCCCTCATCACATTCTCTTCCTTCTCCTCCACCTCCCTCTCTCTCCGCTCAACCGCCATCTCCCTCCCTTCCGCATTCTCCTTCCCTTTCCCCTTCTCTACGTCTCCTTTGTTTTCCTCAACGAATTTACCCTCACCAAACCTCGCTTGAACCTTCCTCCCCCTCCCAGTCCTGATGACCCCAGCTCCACCACCAGCAGACCCCTCCACCCCTTTGATAGGGTGGTGGGAGAGGAGGAGGTCCACCAGGAGGAGGAACGTCATCACCAGACGTATCTCTCGAAGCATCATCACCAGGCGTATTATCCCTCGGAACATCAACCAACCCCTCGACTCCAACGCCAGGCCGTGGCCTAGGATGAAGTATGACAGACCCAGAATCAGTCACCGTCGTCGCTACACCCTCTTCCTTTCCTCACCCACACCAGCAGTGCAAAGAGGAAGGTCTACGAGGAGTTGCTGTGGCAAGGGGACACGCGTGTTGTTGGCCTGGACCGCCTACGCCCAAGGGGTTGGATTGCAGTGAATGGGGGTACGGAACCTGTTAGGAAGGGAAGATAGAGGAAAAGGGGCATGACGGTACCCAAACTCGTGCAGTTCCTGCTGTATCAGTTGGAGCTTGGGCAAACGAGAGGCCTGTGCCTGTGGAAGAGAATGGCGACCCATGCGTAGAAACGAATGGGGAACCTGGACCTGTTGATGGGAACGGTGGTGCAGTGAAAACGAACGGCGTCCCCGTATGTACAAAGAGAGAGTGGTGTGTAGATGCGTAAGCAGGGCAGGTAAGGCAGAAACAAGCTTGATGGGGCAGTTTGATCGTTTTTTCTCATTCCGTCCTTTTCGCTCGTATTGGCGCTGGGACCACAGCCAACGCCAGGCTAGAACCTAAATAATGTGCTGTCCACTGGAAGGGAAGAGTGCACTGAGTGTTGTTGGGTGAATGCGAATAGGATGCGGAATGTTATAGTCCGAGAACAAGACGTGGAACGTCGTTGGTCCTTATTCGGTGAATTTGACCTCCTTCCTCCTTTTTCCCGATTGTCGTTATCGTCCTCTAAGCTCGAGGATCGTTTGAGGGAGGCTATCACTGCATGCCTTTCACCCTCCCATTTCCATTGGAAATAGAATTAAAGCTGGGGTTCGCCGTCCCCACATCAACGCTAAAAAAGTTGGAAGGGTGGTCGTCATGTTGTAGAGAATAAACAGGGAAGCTATGGCCCGAGTCGAACCCCGCCTCGTGGAATGTTTGACGCAGGGAGCGGGAGGCGGAGAGGGGGTGGGTTTGGTGGGTTGTTGGTACGTATTTCGGACCTTTGTATCCAATTAGCACTAGGTAGAAACAAACCAAAAACAAGAACACGTACCCCTCTGTACCCCTCCATCGTTCACCCAATTTGATGGGTGCTGTCACAGTAGCCACGACGGAGACCTCGAAGGAGGCACCGGCAAAGACCTAGGTTCCTTGGACGTCAAGCTCCTACTAGGCCTGTAGGGAGCTTATATTTCGTTGGGGACACCTGAGCACTCGGCGAAGGCATAGATGGGATGTGGTGGTGCTGTGTGAGCGTGGTAATATGGACCTGGTGGTGCGGTGAGGAAGAAGAGCAGGAAACGGTGACTGTGGATGTTGTCATGGCGTAGTAGGGGTGTGCGTTTCGCTTTACTGCATTTGATATGGGTTTGGATATGACGATGGAAGTAGGGTCCTTTGTGGGTAAGCTAGTGCGTGGGAATGAAAAGGTGGATGTTGGGTGGATGTGGAAGATGTGCGGAATCGACTTGGTCCCAAGTTGTCGCGATCGACAGCTTTTGTTGGGGTGAATGTCAACGACCTCCCTGACTGAAGAGGCGCCCATGCCTGTCCAGATATTGGCAACCATTGTAAGGCCCTCCACGCTGAACAAACACACAGTTCATGGGCATCGGTAACAATATTTCAAGATATTTCGCGACCAATTTCTTGACGGCAGTTGCATTCTGTCAGTACTTCTTTGTTCAACTTGAAGATCGCCTATTGGCTCACCGTAGTATCCAGCACTCGTTTTACGTCGTACACGGTGCTGTTGATCTACACTTTTCTGAGGAGTCCACGACTTCCACTCCTGAATAACCACTCTCTTCTTCCCAGCGCACCATCAGAGCCTGAGGTATCGTCAACTTTCATTTCCACCTCTCTATATAATCTCGAAATCTCACGAACTTGCACTCCCGTACTTTTCCAGGCACTGGGGAAGTTGAGAGCTTGAGAGGCCAATGCATGCACTGGATGGAGTAAAGGTGGAGCTACACGTTCAACTCTAGGACTGGGGAGCGGCAACCGTGCCAATAAAATCATGCTGTTTGGTTCTGTTTGTCTCATGCCAAATAGTCGAATTCAGTGGTCGACGACTGTTATTTCACTTTAATCGATACATAGGGACCAATTTACAAGTCTATATTGTTTGTGGTGATATATAATATACTATTATGATTGAATTTGGTAGCCAAGTTCTATATCTGTGTCACTATACATGTCAGATGCATTTTGCTCTGGAATGTAGCCTTCCTATTCACTCCCCACATTGAGTTGAGCTTCAAGCTCCTGCTGGTTTGAGCTTTAGACATTCATATTGTGTTCCGGTTTGGTTCTGGTCTGTTTTCCAAGTTGTCGGAGTGAATGTTGCGAAGGTTTGTCATTGACTGGGAAGTTTGCAACGTCGATCGTGACTTCCAGCCCAGTTTCCAAGCCTCTTTGCCCATGATATAAGATACTTGTGGTTTACAAGTCAATATATGCAGAGGTAGCGACGATAACGCGTTGCTGACACCGATAGTTGTGCTTTGGTCGCGCTTCAGTTACTTTCTTTATTGCAACACGTGATCATCAACGCGTCTTACCATGCCATTCCCGCGTCGTGGATTGCTACCTCATCTGTAGAGGTATTCTTTCAAATTTTGGCAGGCACAAACTTCTGGAGCGTAGGATGGATTTGTTCGGGACAGAATTTTATAAAGGGGTTTGGAAGGCTTGAATTAAGATATTAACTAACGGAATATTTGTATTTTTGAGCTAAATTGTATACGAGCACCTTTACTTATGCTCCACCTACAGATATCCACACTTAAATTGGCAATCTACTGTTGTGTCAAAGTAAATACGAGCAGTTGAGACGATCGACCATTTTTTGATCAGGTCTTTGGTGATGGGAAAATACGGCGGAGTTGAAAATTTGGCAGTGGGTTGCCGCTCCCCACTAGGACATCCTACTTAATACTGAGAATTTACGTGGATTCGGTCACATGCTCTTGGAGAATTTACGCGGATTCGGTCACGTTAATACTGAGAATTTATGCGGATTCGGTCACGTGCTCTTGGGATTCCACCTGCTGACACATCTTCTCTGTTTGCGTCCTCGCCCTGCAGCCAAACAGCCGCGCCTCACGCTGCCCGCTCGTCCTCGTCGATGCTGCCCGACCTCTTCCCACCCACTTACCTTGCTAGCAACGGGCGCGGACTGCAGGTTTGGTGTGGATTTTGGTTTGGGAGCTTGGACCTGAGGAGATTGTAGGCTGGATCCTTTCCTTTTGTCTGCTTGTAGTTAAATTACATAGAATTACATGTGTTGTACTTCGACATCAATCAATCAATCAGAAAGGACACGCGCCTCCTTGCAGCAACGTGCCCTCTTTCTTTTCATCCCCCTGCTTTCTCATTGTGTCGTCTCAGCCTCCGCGTGCCTCCTCGACAATTTGGGAGCCCTTTGGTGAGTCCGATAATTTTGCTGAACTTGACCTGCCGGCCAGTGCCCTTTTGAGTGCTTAAATGACGGCTGAACTGGCTGCAGGGCGTGTTGACGGCCGGCTCTGTAACTTTACGGGATCAAACCTGGGCCCAAGTTAAAGAGCTGTTTGTCAACATTCCCTGGATGCTGTCGATTTGTGTTGTTTTTTTGAAATCATCATTAGATCTGGTCTTTATCTCGGTTTTCAACGGTGTTCAAGCATTACACCACTACTGATTATTTTGCAATACAGATAACTGTAGCCCAAGAGCACGATGTATGGTACAAGAATGGAAGCAACGTTATTAATGGAAAACCTACCATAAGTGTTTAAAGTTCAAAATATATGTGTATGCTGAGACTTTGTTGAATTTGCGAAGATGCTTGATAATACCACTCGAATCAAGCAGACGGCGACAGGCTGCTGCTTGAGCGTTCGTCATATGTTCCGTTCTTACTGCAGCGTCGTCGGCCATGCCTGCCGCGGATGGCGTCAACAAGTGCAGCAACACCCTTTACAGCAACCGGGTATGCCGATAGGAATGCCTCTTCATCCCGACCAAATCTGGCATAGCGAGGAGGTGAGTTTTCGCATGTCATGTACAAATGACTGTCTGATCACCTTTCGTATTCCTTAGCAATCATCTCACGCTCTCCTCTTTTAGCACCATGTATCAAACACATCCTTCCCGTGTACCAACCGGACGGCCAATCCTTCAACGGAGGAACCCCTTGTGATGGAACACCCTCATCCCACTGTTCAACCGCTTGTCGCCAAGCTCGGGGTCCTCTGCGAAGGTTCGGAATCAAAGCTCCTGCAATCGGATATGGCGTGGGACGCTCCTTTGAATGAGGATGCTTCTTCGCATGAGAGGATGATGCAGGTGCATCATCCTTGTTGGGATTATTGTTGGATGCCTCTGGGTCTGTGTGAATGACAGATACACGGTGGGCGGGCCTCATCAGCTCTGCTCGCATCGCAAGTTCAGTAGTCTCACATGCACGAGGCGCTGTAACTCGTGTATATTCTGATGCATGGCATTCTGGGGATGGTGCGGTGTGTGGTGAGTGCGCCCTGATTGCGTTCAGCAGTGCCTCACCCATAAGATTCATGTCACCCAGAGTTACATTCCAAGAAAGTTGGTGTTCACCCAGGAAACTCTGCTCCGTATCCAGGCACGTGGGACAGAGCATGTCACAATAACTCTTCTCGTAGCTTTGAAGAGAGTCAATCAGGTATTTCATTAATGTATCCACCTGGGCAATTCTGACATTTAGCCTTTTGAACTGTAGTAGCGTTACGCCGATAAATTTGTGGCTCACCTGCTCGCCCTCTGCCCACCCACCCCACCATCGAATGATCGTGAGGGACCACCGCTTCCCGATTGGTGCGTGGATGAACCTGTATTGTGCTCCGCCACGCCTGAGACAATGAGTTGTGAAGTTTTTCACCAGGCCCGCTCCCTGACAGAATTCCGTAAGGAGGCATTGCACCTGGTTGTGGGAGAGCGCTTTCTTTGGATGGAGGATGCCGTTCGGTGCAATGTAAGGGAAGACATAGTCATCATCTTCGACCTTCCGCCCAATCTTTTGTTCAAGAAGGGCTACCCACACCGGAAGTCGAGAAAACATGTCAAGCTCAGTCAAATCCTGCTTGTAGATATGGTACGTGTTACCTTTTATAGTCATAGATGAGAATCAGTCATTGATTTGATTTGATTTGTAGTAAAACGGCTCACTCTCGAGAGGGCCATCCCATCCTTGCTTGTTCTGCCACCCCTTTTGATTTTCAAGGAACACAGAGAAGAAGGGATGAGACAGAGGTGCGGGACCACTACAGTCAAAGACGATGTCTCGAAACTGGAGATTACACAGCTCAAAGTTCCTAGTAATTTCACTTCGGTAAGGTCATATATCACAAAAGTCAAAGTAATAGAAACCTTACCGGGTCCACAGAGTATATCCGCTACATAAGAAAGCCTCCATTTCAAGATGTTTCGCCAACAATTTTGCATGGTCGTGGTCATCAAGAGAAGTGTCGACCCTCATTTCTGCACGGCGTTTTTCAGACCACTCCATCACAGCTCGAAGCTCCTCAATTCTCATTGCCTTGGCATGGTGGCGTCCAGCAGCAGCACCCTTTGCTCCGCTCTTATTCTTTATTACTTTCATCAGGCTCTGCACGACTGGCGCTCGTCCTGGGCATCCTGTCACCTTGTTTTTTTCTTTGTCGTATGCGTAATCACCTGAATACTTGGTCCCATCCCTGGCTCCCATTCATCTTTGCAATATAGAAGCAGTTCGGAGTTGCACACATACCAGTGGTCCCATAAATCACAAAATGCACCGTGAATTCCCCATGCTGTGCTCATACCAAGGCCCTCCGTGCAGCACTTTTGGACAAGGAAATATTCGAGAGCCGTGGCAGAGAGCTCGTTTGGGGGGCCATTGAATGCACGTGCGAGGATGTCGAGGTCAATTTCTTCGTCATCTGAGTTATTCAAGGTAGGCTTGCCTGACTCCCTCTCCTTCTTCTTTTCCTCGATGACCTCTGCAAGAAATTGTCTTCCATTCTTGACATATCCCTTATACTTTCGGCGTGTACGTGCGGGGCGGCCATAAGCATCTCGATTGACAGCACTCTGTTTCTGAAGCGTCTCAAGCTTTGCTGCGGCAACTTTTGTCTTCTTCTTTCCTGGTGCTTTGTTTTTCTTGCCAGTTGTACTTGATTGCCTTGCCATGTAGTTGTAGGTGGTGTTTGAATATAAGAAGAGATTTTTGTTGCGAGCCTTGCGTTTCAGTATGACGGAGGCATTTTATTAAATGG